TGTTCACCGTCATCACAAGGCGCGGCTCCCTTGCTGAACCCGAAGAAATCATGGAGGTTCGGTTGTACCTGGAGAGATTGCGAGGCTGACTTCTTCGAAGCATCAGGGCCGGTCAATGTATAACCCGAATCACGCCGTTGGTTACCCACGACGTGCTCGTACCGGCAGTTGTCACCATGCTGACACATGCCGGTATTCCGAAATGAGAAGCATACCCCACGACCGGCACCCTTGCCTGTACCGCTGGTTGGGCCAGACACAGCAGCCTGAACTAGGGCAGCGAGCAGTGGATTGGACATGTTGCGCACTAGGAGTCGCGGGAAGTTTGCGCCAGTACTTGGAACAAAATGCTGAGGAAAAGCAAGGCTTCAGGAGCAAACCAATGGCCCAGTAGGGTTTTAATCTCGGTATAAGGGCTCCCACATGCACAGGCCACGAAGCAGAAGCAGAAGCAAGGCCAAATTCAGCAATAGACACTCACGGGCATGCACAGAGAGCCGATATGTGCCATGCGGCACACTGCATACTCAGAGACTTGTCCCGCATAAGCGATGGAAGATCAAGAAAAGGCATTTTTGAATGGACTCGCCATATGAGTTTGAAGAGTTGCCGAGGTGGATGCCCAGCATGTTCCAGCTCAATCATCAAGAAGAGTACAGCAGCCCGAAGAGAACAGCGGGTTCCGATGCAGAAGTCCAGTACACGTACCAAGTGTCCCAGTAGATGGCCTCGCACCGCAGAGTCACTCCCAAAGGATTGGTTGGATGTGAGACGTCCTGCACGAGGAAAGTGTCCAAGAAAGCAGTGATCGCAGTGACTGGACCAAGGTATAGTGCACAATGATCCCCGGCGGAAGAAGATCCGAAGGCCAATGAACTTGTTGTCGTGCGTGGGTTTGAGTCGGCACTCTCGAGCATAAAAAGCAGAATCCCTTAGCTCAAGCAGCAGAGATAAGAGGAAGCCAGGCCGCCAGACCAAGAGGCGATCATCCATCCAGCGAGCCGCGCACAAATGCAAAGAGATATGATGCTGAAGGGCAATGGGTTTTTGCCGTAACCACCACTCCTCACGAACTGCCGCAAAGAGATTAGCAGCACCGCTAGAAGCTGGGCTACCTTGTGCAAATCCTGTGGGCTGTTTGTATAAGAGGCCTGCCACCCGAAACCATGCAAACTTCCAGTCATGCGCCAAAATCCCGGGGATGTCCCGCAATGCCAAGCAGTAGAACTGATGCGGATCAGGCGGGACCGAAGCTGTCATAGCGCTGGGTTCACGCTTAGGTTTGAAGGAACGCCAGCCGTTGGGGCCAGGTTTGTCCGCGAAGAGCCAGACCTCACGCCTAATGGAGCGAGCAGCGCGTGGGATGCAGACATAATCATGCCCCGACTGTTGTCGAAGTCGCGAGCACGCCCATTGCACCGCGTCAAGAACTTTGTCACGGGGAGCTTTGGTGAAGAAGTCTTCAATGTCATCAATGTGTAGGTTCACCGTAACATCTGGAGTACCGAAAGTGGCCGCAGTGTCCTCGTTAAATTTCCTGAGCTTGCCGCGGAAGGTGGTGGCGCACAGGGTTACGAATCCAGGTGCCACAGATTGTTGGATGAAGTTCAAAGCCCGGCATGTGGTGCTGAGGAGGTGTCGCCAATGATGTCGACGGTACGATACAAGCGGTCGAAGCTTCAGCGAAGTCCAAGTATCACATAATGGAAAAAGCGACTTGGCTTTCACGTGTAGCGTCAGTTGACCAAACTGGTGTTCACGACCAAGCTTCAAATGGCAGAAGGGAAGGACCTCGAGTCGATTTGGCCACACAAAGAAGTGCTGGTTGAAGTTAATGACCTCGTTCATTGTCACAGGAACTGCATTGCATGATTTCAGAAAGTGTTGCCCCATCTGCCAGTATTTTTGCCGACATAGTACAGCTAATTCGCCTTTGGCCCGATCAACAGGAACGCAAGCGAAGTTCGACAGTACGACAGCAGCTTGTTGTCCTTGACGAATGCTAGGAGAAGCAGAAAATCGACGCAACGAACACTCGACAGCGCTTTGAACCGAAGAGCAGCTGTACCCTTCAACAAAAGCAGACAAACTCGGACAAGTGATCGTGCATGCATTTCTGAACTGCAACTGCAAGTCTTGACAAACTTGTTGCACGTCTGGTTTAAACCGTGACCGAGCAGTCCATGTGTCAGGCCACTCCCCTGGGATGTGTCGTTTGACTCCTTGAAGATGATCACAAACATGACCGTCCAGCATACGCCAGTTACAACACCAGGCCTTAGCGCACGAACATGTAATAGGCACGTGCGATTGCTCCAGAATCCGCCTCGAGTTATCAACAAGGTCAAGCAGGGATGGGCTCGAAACAGGTTGGATGCACAACTTCACAACCGTGATCGTCATAGATGCTTTGTAGGCTGCCGATAGTGCACATTGGACTTGTTGTTGAAAGCTCTTGCGCACAACGGCAGAAAACCCTGCATAGCTGCTAATGGCAATCCGCCGGTAGGTAAATGCCCCCAAACAACGACTCATGTTCTGCAAAAAGATTGCGCGATGGTGATTGCCAAGGCATCGCATGGCAGTGAGGGTGATCCGCATTCGGTATGTAGGATGCCAGGATTGAACGGACAACAAGAGTCCAAGGTTAAGACCACGTCGTTGACGAATTGGCCGTCTAGAAACCGCAACCGCCACAGCTAGTCGCTGTCGCCAGCCTTGTGCTCCAGGTCGCTCCCTCGGGGCCAGAATAGCGGATGGTGGAAACAGAAGGGCTGGATCCTGTTGAACAATTCCTCGCACATGCATCAGAGGTCGATCCTGTGCACGCCGAGGAAAAACCAAAGAAACATGCTCGTTGCTGTACTTGACAGTGGTAAGAGTTCCTTGAACATTCAAGGTGGGCTTCCAGAGTGTGATGGCTTGAGCTTCCACAAACAATCTGTCTGCAACAGTTGTCGCGCACGCAGAAAGATCACAAAGAGGTATGAATACAAAGGAACTGAAGTGCATCTGCCGCAATTTGTCATACAACTTCCCAGACTGCTTCCCAGACAAGCATGCATACCTGTGCGATTGCAAACGTGTCCAACCATTGCCATTGGTTTGTCCTATGTAGCTGTGACAACACCACGGAGCAGCAAGCATGTACAGAATACCTGTGGAAGTGGTATGCGCAACACCAAACTTGGCCTCGAGCATTGACCAGAATGCACACAACTTCCTATCATAGTGCGTAGGAGAAGAAGACAAGAAATCTTTGTATATATAACCCTTCATGGTTTCAATAACGCGAATAACCTGCCAAATCTTAAGGCCCTCATGTTCACCGCGATGCGCGAAAGTAGTAGAGCCATCCGAAGTGATATTGCACGAAGAATGCCAATCTCGGGGTGTCAAGTGTATGCAGCAGTCGCAGTGGTGCCATGTCCGTTTGCAAGAAGGGCAGTGTCGGTTCCACTGCTGTTTGCAATAGGCCCAAGCAGAAACTTGACACAAGCGTTTAAGAGCTCGCCCCGCCTCACGGTGGAGCCCCCTCAATTGACCTTGGGAAAGCCTGCAAGTCTGGAAAAGATTACTAGGGCATCGCTGTCGCCAGGCATTGAAGCACTGCACTGCCATACCGACCATAGCCGCTTCGCTCCTGAATTTGCAGACCGCTGGTTGTCTCCACATCGCCGCAAGATTCGTCGGGGGTCTTGCAGCAGCAACTGAGGTTGGCATAACCACTAGCAGCGCAAGCAGGAAGACCCACATGTGACTACCCGAAAGAGCGAAAATTGCGCAAATGGACCCACAGATCCATAGCCAACATGGAATATGTATTTCACACACTTGCAGCAGGAAAATGCACCCCGCCACAGCTTGACATACATGAACATACGTAAATGTAGAACCTCGGCGCACGCCGCCTTGGGAGGTGAACACCATGGAGCCCATGGACATCACCCCCTACGCAAACAAATTTCGCGTCATCGGACACCTTCTTTTCCCTACCCGTTGCCCTGACAGATCTCGAACCTAGGAAATGCATACAGAAAGCCATGCATCAACATCAAAACTGCACTGGCAAGTGATGAGTGGTCGCAGGGACTGCATATGCGGCCATTATGTTGCTGCTAGCAAAGTAAGTCCTAGAACAGGTAGTCTATGCGCGAGACATGTGGCACCGTACCCTTAAATCCAGCCACAGGGCTGCGTCTTCAATGCGTGTCTGGTATACAAGCCCTTACAGTAAGTATACCTACTTCTGATTGAAAGTATCGCTACCCCCGGAACTCCCTCCGCAACCGTATCATGTTCAGGATGTTGAGGGTGGGCCATAGCAGATGCTTCGGGTCACTGACGCACCCTCTATTGTGCGATGCTGCTTAGCGCTGAGCAGGTTAGCTTTATCTTTTCGCTGGGTGTTTAGCGCCCTCGCACATTTAAACGTTCAAGTTTTGGCTCACGTAACTCAGCAACCATAGGTCAAAGTTTTCTGCCAAGTTTATGGCGTAGTTCATCGTAGTTCCCATCCTTCGCGGGTTGCTGTAACCCAAGCTCTCCAGGTTTTACAAAGGTCCTAAACCCAACGGCCGCCACAATCGAAGATCGGCTGGTCCCAAACAAAACGCCGACGACATCAGGAGATGCTGCCCTTGCCACAGAGAACCAAGCGCTGGACGACAAAGTGATGACCCAGGAGCAGCTATGCGCCTCGTCCAGGTCTTGCAGCAGACGATGATTAGGTTGTGCAGTCACACCCATGGTGCCATAGCTCTTGTGACCAGGCATACACTGTCAAACCTAGGATTCAACTTGATTCATGGGCAATGCACGTATGCCAGCAAAGCCATGCATCTCTTTCC